GGAGGAGAAACCTAGAGGAGGAGAAGATGGCAGGGACCAGTCACGGAGTAAAAAGCCCATAGGCAAAAGGTAGACGGGATAATTTAAGAAAAGCTGGCTAGAAACAACCCACGCTAAGACCAGCACTCATAAATAAGGATAAGTGAGTCTCAGTGTATGTATTTGGGAGCTGGGTGGTGGCCCCCAAAGAGCAAAGAGTAAAAAGACCAACGATAGCAATGCAAAACCCTAATCATCCGAGGCAATCTGCGAATTATGAGGACAGTGTTGGCAGGGATCAGGGGTCAAGAGCACTTGTTGCTCTCACAGAGACTCTAGCTTCAGCTCCCCGCACCCACATGCTGGTTCCTAACTGTCTGTCACTCCAGTCCCAAGGGATCCAGTGCTCTCTTCTGACTTCTGTGGGCACTGCACACACATGCTATACCACATTCACATAAATACATCTAATAAAGGTTAGCATTTGTAAAGATATTTAAAAAAAAAAAAAGTAACGGGAACAAAGTAAAGCAACTGCTGACTTCAGGTTCCTGTCAAATCTGTCAATTACTCAAATTAATTAATTACATGTCAGCTGCTGACTTCAGATTCCTGTCAAATCTGTCAATTAATCAAATGAATTAATGTCACTTACATCTCTTTGCTCTTGTGAAAATATCCTTTTAAAAACAAAAGTAAACTCACGTTATTCTCTCCCTTTTTCTTACAGGAATGGGGACTGAGCCAGGACCTTGCCCATGCTAGACAAGCATCCTACCATTGAACTACAACCCCAACCCTTAACAGCTACAACCACTACTACAGTGTTTCTGAGCCTTTGAGGTTTCACAGGGCCCAAAATTTATTTCAGTATTCCATTATAAGCCAATAGATGTCAAAAAAGCTATAAACTCACTATTACTGATTAAGCATGAAAATCTCATCACTATTAAATCAGATATTCTTCTTAGACCAAGGGATTATCCACATTTCTCTCGGAGTATGACAAAAATGAGAACTGTTCTAAATAACAAAATACCTTACTAAGAAAACATATTGAAATTAGATTTTTATAATCCTATAATTGTCCTTTAATGATGATAAGTACTTGCTTCCCTTCCTCTCAGAGTTTTCTTTATCACTTGGATCATCTGATATACTTCCTCATCTGTGTGTGCATATATGAACACGGTGCACACACATAGACTGAGGTCAAACTTGCTGGCCCCAACTACCTGATTTTGAAGATCTGACACTACAATGTGGTGCTAACAAATTGCAGAAACAGATATTTGGCCAGGAAGGGCTTCACAACCCTTTATTACAGGCTTCACATCTATAATGAGATCTGGTGCCCTCTTCTGGCACAAAGGCATACATGCAGATAGAGCACTCAGATCCATAAAAATAAATTTCAATGTGAGTTAAAGACCAGGTCTACACAGTGAGCTCCAGGACAGCCAGGATTACACAGACTCTATCTAAAACGCAAAACAAGTTAAAAGAATTAAAATTCAAAATGGAAGCTGTTATTCTTACTGCTGGAAATATCAGAATAAGATTTCTTAATGTCAATAAATATATTTATATATGTGTATATAAATATATATACATATGGTGGATTTCATTTTAGTTTTATTAAATTTCAAAACTTTAAAAATTAAAGATGGGTGGTGGTGGCACACGCCTGTAGTCCCAGCACTCGGGAGGCAAAGGTGGTGGATCTCTGCGAATTTGAGGCCAGCCTGGTCTATTCCAGGACAGTCTATTCCAGGACAGCTACAGCTGTTACACAGAGAAACCCTGTCTTGAAAAAACAAACAAATATGCTGACTTGTAAAAATCTACATAATTATATAAAGAATTATGATCAAGACATGTTTTAAAGTATCCTAGCACTGGGCTGGATAACGCAGACCCTGACTCAGGAAACCTAAGACCAGGAGAGACAAAGAGCAAGTGCCCCGCCTGTCTGTGATCAGGGCCTCAGAGGGGACAGGACCCTTTCACAGGACAATTAATGTGCGTGGGGTTGAGGCCCCGCCTGTCTGTGATCAAGGGTCACAGAGGGGTCAGGACCCTTTCACAGGACAGTTCATGTGCCTGGGGTTGGGAAAGGGTGGGCAAGCACACAAGAAAGCAATGGGAGAAGTAGGTACACATTCCCACCCATCAAATCTTTTCAAAACATGAAAAACTCTGTATTACACATTATTGTAAATCACAAGGAAGAAGTTATGCTATAGGTGATCAAAAGAAAGATACACTGTTACCTAATGTTCCCATGTCTATCTGTACTGAAAAGAACCACACCCGACCACCAACTTGAAAGGGAGTTGGTGTTAGCAACCACACATGAAGTGGGCCTTTAACAAAGCAATCCACTGTCTCCAGTGTGTCACTAATGGATTAAAACAAAGGAGGGATTCTGGCTACGCTGAGAGCTTGCGGCAGCCATGACTAAACATTCTGGACACCTCCTACATGAAAGCATGGTGGCAGATGCTTACTTCTGCATCCTCATATCAGCTTATCCGCACCCTGAGTGAGAAAGGCATTCTCATTCAGCAAAAAGGTGAAGTTGAGAGCTGCAATTTTTCTAGTGACATGCATATTGTATTCTAAGGCCTATGTCTCTCTGAAGAAGTATGAAGAGAAATACCACACCCAAACTCAAAACTAAATAAATGTGGATTCTTTCTTCTGCAACTATACTCTATAAAATGGAAAGTCACACTCCTTACAAAAAGCAAGAAACACAGAAACCAAGCAAGACGGCATGGGAAGGCTGAGTGGCCCCGTCACTTGAGAGCTCTACCAATCTTGCTACACATTCAAGCGGAAGCCTCACCAAAAGAGGGAGACGGACCTATCGCTATATATAGCGTGTCTTCAGTTAACCATAAAATAATGTTTAATCAGCCAGGCAATGGTGGTGTATGTCTTTAATCCCAACACTTGAGAGGCTGAGGTAGACGGAGTTCAAACCCAGCCTGTCTACAAAGCAAGTTCCAGGACATCTGGGGCCAGACAACAAACCCTGTCTCGAAAAACAAAAAAAGTTCAATCTACACATGCCAAATGCCCATGTATTTGTATATATTACATATACGTTACAAGAAAAACATACATAATTATTCTAATATTAGGGGAAATCAAGATTTTCTGTGCAAAGGAGAACAGATTTCAGCATAATAGTAAAATAGTTTTATAAATTTATATTATGTTCAAACTGATTGAAAGGTTCTATCTAGATTTAATTCTTCCTTTTTAATCTCACACCTAATCTCTATGTCTATTTCTAGCATACTGAGCATTAGACTGAAAATTCAATTTGATGAAATTTAGGCTAGATATTTTTAGGTCTGTGACGTACTGCACCACATCAGGAAGGCTTCCTATCTGAAGGTATCTTTAATAGTAATGTTTAATAGTCATGTTTGTTTTGTTTGTTCAAGGTTGTGACAACCCAGGTCTGACAAGGATTTTAAGATGAACTCTGCCACTACTATCTACGTACGGCCTCACAGTTTTGTATTTTATATATCTTGGCATTCAATGCCTGTTTAAAATCAGTTAATTCATGAAAAGTTTCTTTTTTTTTTTTTTTTTGCTTGCTTGTTGTTGTTCGAGACAGGGTTTCTCTGTGTAGCCCTGGCTGGCATCACTTCTTTTGGATATAGGCAGACCCCTGGGGTTTGCTGGCCAGCCAGCTTAGACCACTTGGCAAAGACCAGGGCAGTGAAAGACCCCGTCTCAAACCAAGGAAGGGGGAAGGCATTTAAGGAATAAAATTTAAAGTTGTTTTCTTGCCTACACATGTACACATATGAACACAAACACACAAAAACATAAACATGCCTGTGCATATTTCAATGAACATGCAAATACGCACCCATGCTCGCTCACACAGAAAAAAAAATTATCCAGAATCAAAAGTCAAGAAACCAGTTATATATGGTCTAAGCTGGCCTCAAACTTGAAATCTTCCCGCTTTAGCCTCCTATGTGCTGGGATTACAGGCAGGAGCCATCATATTCAGCTCAACAATCAATCTTTAAAATTATTTTACAGTATGAGTGTTTTGAACATAAATATATATGCACTGATATATATGTGTGCCCAGTACCCCCAGACGAGAGGAGATGCCTGCCAGCCACCAAGAAAGCAGGACATGTAGAAAATAAGGTAATAAATCATGAGCCACGTGGCAAAGCATGGATTAAAAAAATATAGATTAATTTAAATGCAAGAGTTAGCTAGTAACAAGCCTGAGCTAATGGCGAAGTGTTTACAATTAATATTAAGCCTCAGGGTAGCTATTTGGGAGTGGCTGCCGCAATGGAAAACTTCCACCTATACCCAAAAGTCAAAACTATGGGATCCCAGGGGACTGGGAGTTAGGGATGGTTGTAAGCCACCATGTGGGTGCTGGAAATGGAGATCAGTCCTTGGCAAAAACAAGTTTTCTCAACTACTAAGTCATCTCTCTCCAGGCCACCAATCAACTCTTACGATACATTTAAATGTTTGTTACTGGGGCGGGATTGATGCTTCGGCACGCCTCCTCTGAAGACAGCCTTGTGACGCTCACATCCCTTTACGCAGTCCCAGAGCCAAACAGACCAGCCATCTCACCTGGCCTCAGTCTTGCTAGTCTGCCTTTTTAATGGGGCTACAGTACAGACTAAAGAAGGGGAAGGAAACTATACTAAGTTAAGAGAGGTGATGGAGGTTAACAGCCAAACAGAATGTGTGAAAGCTATAGAAGCTAGACGCTAGCTCAAATATAAAAAGTCAACAAAACCTTATCAGGATAAGAAGACATTTATTTATTTATTTATTTATTTATTTGTTTGTTTGTTTGTTAATTTTTAGGCGAGATCTCACTTTGTAACTCTGGTTGCAGGTGAGGCTGGCCTTGAACTCACAGAGATCTGCCTGCCTCTGCCCTGAGTGCTGGGAAATTTTCAGTAGACTTTCAGCCCATGGAACACAGCGCACCACTGTGATATACTCACCTCCACTCAGCAGCTTCATGACTAGCCACAGCTCATCCTTTACCACAAAAGACGTGTAGTAAGACACAATATTAGGGTGATGGCATTGACTCATGGCTTGAATTTCTTTCTACAAAGAAGAAAATACATGGTCACTCATTAAATCCCATCTTAAAGCATCCCTTATCAATTAGCAAATCCAGATTTGGTTGTTCCAGGATTATGTCATAGACTCCCCTGCGGTTTCCAAGGTACTAATCTCTTCACGAATGGTTACAGGCCAGGCTACATACACCTCTAACCCTGGCACAGTCTGACCGGGACACACAGCTGAGATCTCATCTAAAAAGACTACAGCAGGCCTTTAATCCCAGCACTCAGGAGGCAGAGGCAGGGAGATCTCTGTGAGTTTGAGGCCAGCCTGATCCACAGAGTGAATTCCAGGACAGCCAGGGCTACACAGAGAAACCAAAACAAAAAACAAAGGCTAAACCAGGAAATCATGTAGTTTCCCTCAGTCAGTTCTGAGGTAGATGCAGTATTAGCAATGTCTGAAGCAGAAAGTATGCATTGTTTATCACACCCTGGCACAGAACCTCAGGAAGCCTCTCCATTAGGGCACGTACTTTTACTTCAAAGCATCCTTGAATGGTTGGCTATCTTGGGAAATCTGGCCCACAGAGAATAATTACTAATAAACAGAAGGAACAGAAGGTGACTTTTTTTTTTTTTTTTTTTGTCTGTCTGTGGAGGAGGGTTGTTTTGTCCTAGTAAAAATACCTATTCAACTAATTTTTGTGAAATGATTGTCAATTCTCACACTTAGAAGTGAAATTGTGCAATGTTATAAACTAAATCCAGAGTAATGACCCCTGTGCTAGAGTCTAACTCTATCTCAGTTTATAAAAATTTTAGAGAACCCTGAATAACTTGGGGCCCTCAGGTCTTATCCCTGTCCCTTCTGACCTCACTCTTATGACGTAGCCACACAAATCAACTTAATGATTCTACCGTTTCCTCTGTATCACACAATACCACAGCACCTTAACTGAGCAATCTGATTTCAGTGGAGGCATTTTTAACATTTTCCCAAAGCATCCAGATTCGTCAGAGGCTGCTACTGCTTCTCCTCCTTTTTCTTTCTTCTCTTTCTTCTTCTCTTCTTCTTCTTTTTTAATTAAAAAGGCAGAAAAACAACTTTATTTTTCCAGATGGGAGAGGCCTTAGACTGGAAGTCCAAGAGCCCCTTAACTTCAAAGAACCTTGTACACCTTCTCCCGTTACAGCATGTAAATACTACACAGTACATATGAGCTTACTTGTCTGGCTCTGCTAGACTGAGGCTACATGAAGGCCAGGGCTTAGAACCGGATCCCCACATGTGATGACACATGCACGCAGTGTCCCCTGGGAGGGGAAGGTGAGAGGGATAAGAGAGTCTAAGGACAGATTCAGCTACACAGAGGGTTGTTAATGTATATTTATTTATTTTATTTTTGTGTATGAGTGTTTTGTCTGAGTGAATGTCTGTGAACCATATTCATGCCGGGTGCCTATGGAGGTCAGAGGAGGGTGTCAGACCACCTGGAACTGGGGTTGTGAGCACCATGTGGACTGAGCAAGATAAACCTGGGTCCTCTCAAAGAGCAGCCAGAGCTTTTAAGCACTGAACTATCTCTCCTGCCCCCTTCTTAGTTTTTAAGGCCACCCGGGGCTACATAAAGATTCTATCTCATAAAATGTTCCCAGCCATCATGGAGCTGCCTAGCATGTGCTCATGTGCTAGGTCCTTAGTTCAATCTCTAGTACGTACATACATACATACATACATTCATACATACACACACACACACACAAGCTTAAAATAGAACTTCACTGCTTTCTTCATTCTTATTTGGGGTATGTGTGCACCTGTGCACCCATAAAGGTCAGAAGATGGCATGGATGACTTGGAGCTATTAGTTACAGGCAGTTGAGAGCCACCTGACTTGGATCCTAAGGCCTTAACTGAGGTCCTCTGGAAGGGCAGCAAAAGTTCAGAACCACTGTCATCTCTCCAGCTCCTGAACTTACTGCCTAGTTATTTTCTGCACCACGCCACAACACACACATACACAAAACTGTAAGCTCAATGAAAACTAAGAGTATTTTTTGCATTTATCATTGTGTCTGGCACACATACAACTCTAATAAATAATGTCTGTGGAATGAATGAAATCCTACAGTGATTTACACAGCTTTTAATGTTTTCATGTACATACTTTATATCTTTGGTATAGAAAGATTTTTAAATTCTTCAAAAATGATAAATGAAGTACTCAAATGTTATTTTTTTATCTACTTAAATACAAATTTATTTCTAGCAAAGGCCTTGCTGAACATATTTTGCAAGCCCTCAAGTCACCAGCAGGGACTTTTCAAGGCCCCTTAATGTCTAGACCTCAGGAAAGAACAGGGAGAAGAACTGAGTAGGCCCCTGCCTATTAACCGTTATACAGTTGCATATAAAAAGGAGCAGGTAGGGCAGCGTGTACAGGACAATTAGTGAGGATGTTAAACGTAACAGGACAAATTCGTAAGGGTAATACAAAAGAATCAACAGGAAAAACTAGCTGAGGCAAGTATGGTCAAAGAGGCCTTGTCAGAAGAGATGTGCCTCAGTTTAGCTTTACAGGCTGCGGGAAACAGAAGCAGTAAGAGATGAAAAAGGCAAGTGCTCTCCCGCCTCAGTACTAAAATATTAAACCACGACTACTGAGTCTCATCCCCAGCCCCAGAGTAACATTTAAATATGATAAAATATGTGAGATATGTTTAAGGCATAATAATTGTTACCCTGACTTAATCATGTACTACCTCAATGGCCTTGCTCAATTCCTATTCTGCCAAATACTCTTTTATTTCTGAGGATGGGACACCAGTAAGGGCTTATCAAAGCTGGCTGGATCTCAGGTGGCTATCAGATAACCCCTAACTTCAGTACAATCCCATCTGAATGCTAAATGGCAGCCACAACCCACCTCAGTGACAACGACTAAGAAGGAGCAGGAGAAAGAACTTCCCTAGAGAATCTCCATCTCCTCAGTTAAGACTTCTCCTTGTTCTTAGCCCAACCTTCTTCTATGTATTTAACATCTAGGAACACGCTCCCGGCCCCCAACAGCTGGAGCTGTCAGCAAAGGGTCTTCTCAAGGTCCTGGAGCACAGTTAGGGATAAACACTGGTAGCCTGAGGGCTGGAAAAATGGCTCATCATGCAGAAGACCTGAGTTCTGTTCCCAGTATCCACACTGGGCAGCTCACATCTGCTGTAACTTTAGTTCTAGTTCTGGCCTCTGCAGGTGCCCGCATGCATGTGCACATACCCAATGCACACATCATTTAAAAACAGTAAGTCGTTTTTAGAAATTGGTGTCAGCCCTGGTTTGAGATGGCACATACCTTTAATCACAGCACTCAGAAGGTAGGCCAGCTTAGTCTACACAAAAAGAGGCTCAGGCCAGCCAGGGATAAACAGTGGATCCCTGGCTGAAAGGTAAACAAGCAAATGGCAGCAGAGTGAACAGAACTGCTTGGTTGAGTAGTTCATACTCAGTCCAGGCATTTATTAATGTCTATTATACCAACTGTGTCAGGCCCAACTGCAGACCATTGACAAACCCTCCTAAAACGGAGTCTGGTGAAGAAGTTCAACAAATGCCCTGACAACACAGAATAATAAACAGTTTAATAAGGAAGTTAGCAGACACCAACGAGTGCCCCAGAGAGACACACAAACTCAAGTCACAATCAACAAGGTCTTTCAAGGTCTATGCAGACAGTGAAGTAAGCTCAACTGTTTAAACACCTGGAACCTTCTGAGATTCCTACAAATCCAGCCTCTATCCTAACAAATGAAGACCTGAGGCAACTACTCTAGACTGCTGCTGCCATCTGAATAAGAGACGACGGAAAAATGATGAGAAGCTCATTGTTGGGTAAGGTAACTGCACCATGGTTGCATTCCTATTAGAGAGAGCTGAGAGGAGCAGAACTCTGACAGTCTGCACGCTTAGTTGTCTCTGAAGGGTTAAAGTATCGCCGAAACACAGCTGAGTGGCAGAGCACTTGCTAAGCAAGTGTCAGGCCAAAGCTCATTCCAGCTTTAAAAATCGTAAAGACAATACAGATGAAAAGGGAGGGGCCGGGAGAAAGAGGAGGCACACACAGTAGGACCTGGCAGCTGGCAAGGGAGGGCAAGAGAGAACAAACTGCACATCAGGGTGGCAGCTGCCGTAAAGGCCTGGGAACGACTGTAGGTCTTACAGGTTAAGCTAAACCTCTGAGCTTTAGCCCGAGAAACTGTATTTTCTAGAGTTTTCTAGCAGGAAACTGAAAGGACAACAAAGTAGAAAAGCCTCCTGAGACAACCCTCCTCCTCCACAGGGGGAGAGAATCCCCAGTAACACCTGTTCAGTTTTGCTTCCCTTCCTAAAGAACACACAAACACTAACAAGCCTGGCATATTCACTCTGACTCAAATTTCCCTTGCCACCTATGAAGCCTATCCTTGCTAATGAAACTGCTTCTTCAAAGTTCTTTACAATTAGTTAATGCCTTTATCCTCCCTCCCTCCTTTTTTTTTTTTTTTTTTTTAAGATAAGGTAGACCAGGCTGGCCTGGAACTCAGTGAGATCCACCTACCTTTACCTCTAAGTACTGAGATCAAAGGCATGCACCACCACCCCTGGCACAATTTTCTCATTTATTTCTTGGCTAATGTTAAACCTAGAGCCAACATACTAGACAGATACCGTAAAACTGTGCTGTATCTCTAGCTTTTAAAATTGTTTTTCCACTCCCCCCCCCTTGGTTTTTCAAGACAGGGTTTCTCTGTGTGGCTCTGGCTGTCCTAGAACAACTCTCTCTGTAGACCAGGCTGGCCTCGAACTCACAGACCTGCCTGCCTCTGCCTCCCAAGTGGGCAGGGTCAAAGCCAAATACCACCACTTCAGCTCCATTTTTTTTTCAATGATAATTTTTCTTTGCTTTTGAAACTCACCTTGATTTCTACCATTTAACTGACAGCTTTTAATTATTCAAAAGGCATGTTTCTTCCATTCACACAATTCAGTTAGTTTTTCATCCACACAGAATAAACCATGTCCTCATGCTTTTCTGTACCTGGTTGGCCTCACCTACTTAATTATTTTAGCTCTATCAATTTACATGCAGATTTCACACTCAGACCACACCCAGGTCTTCATGCACTGCATGCTTACCCATAGGTAAGCATTCTACCAATCAATGCAGAACACAGGCTGGGGGTGGGGGTGGGGCGCTGATGTATGGGATACTGGAGAAATAGGTATAGTGTGTGGAAAGGTTAATTAAACAGAGTATGAAAAAGCCATATGGAAACGTAATCAAGTTTTGAAAACATGTTTACAAAAGAGAAGCTACTTGTCTAAAAATTTTGAAGAGAAACATAACCAATAAATGTGTTTTAATCCAGCGCTTAGGAGACAGGCAGGAGAGAACCATGCGACGTGCACGCTTTGTCTGATGGAGATCAGACGTCACCAAATCCCCTACTGTTGGAGTTACATATTGTTGTAAGCTGCTGTGTGGGTACAGGGTGGGTTCTCTGTAAGAGCAACAATTACTCTTAACCATTGAGCCAACTCTCCAGTTCCATTGCAAATACCCTTAGAAAAAAACTCATAAAATAAAAATATCAAGACATGTACTATGGTAGATTACAGCTTTCAAATACTGTATTATTTAGGAAAGCATCTAAGGGGCTATTATATTTTCTCCTTAAGCAAAACAAAAAACAAAAACCCAAACCAAACAAAAAACTCACCAGGATTAATTAAATGAACTAGAAATGTCACTCAATAGAGCAGCATTTACCTAGCACACATACAATAGATATATCTAGACTTGATTGCTAACTTTACAAAACTAACAAAAAATAAAAAATATTTAATGAGCCAGGCATGGTGGCACATGCCTTTAATCCCAGTACTCAGAACATATAGGCAGGTGGATCTCTGTAAATTCAAGGCCTGTCTGGTTTACATAACAAGTTCCAGGACAGTCAGAGCTATATAGAGACACCTTGTCTCAAAAACCAAAAAAGTAGACAAAGATAAGACTTTTGAAGCTGTCTAATTTTCCTTGCTAAGCACTTACTACATAACTTCTTTGGGTGCTTATATATTTTGAGACAAGGTTTCTCTACATAACCTTGGCTATCGTGTAACTCACTATATAAGTCCTACACAAGGTTATATTCTTAAACTATACTGCTAATCCAAGAATACAACAGAAGTACAAAACAACCCCTGTGAGGCTACTTTTTTATTTTTAAACAGAACATCTTTTATCACCACTTGGTCCTATCTTAGTTCCCTCCCCAGAACCTGCAGCCTGACACGGCACATGCTTACAGTCCCAGTACTGAGGAGACAGAGACGGGAGGTTCTCTGAAGCTTGACATCTGCCAGTCAAGTCAAATTAGCAAGCACCGGGCTCACCTCAAAAACACAGTAGAAAGCAACTGAGGAGGACACCCAACACTGGACTCTGGCCTACATGTGTACTTGCAAAACAAGTACACACACAGCAAAATAAACTCTCAAAATAAATTAAAAGCCTGCATGGCGGTACATGTCTTTAATCCTATCGCTCAAGTGGCAGGAGCAGGTGATCTCTGAGTCTGGGAGTCTGAGGCCAGCCTGATCTATGCAGAGTTCCAGGGCAACCAGGGCCACACAGTGAGACCCTATCTCAAAAAATAAAAGTTTCTAAAATAAATACAAAGAGGCAGAGGGCCCATCTACCTCGTATCTTACATCAGTGAGCATAGCACAAACCGATGTTTCTCTAAAGCCAGTAGCTTTTAAAAGATTCTTGACCCAGGAATCACAATCCATGTATTACTTAGAGAAATGAGAACTAAATAACCACCACTGTATTAATAATCACAAAGTGCAATCATATAATACTAGAACACATGTTCAATAAACTATCCATATTCAGTGGATACTACACATGTATTTACTAAATCTACATGAACAAACACAAATAGAGCAGTACAATAAGCCATTCAATGTACAGATCAAATCACAAAAAATGCTAATAAATTTAAATATTCAAGCTTGGTGTTGGTGGTGCACAACTTTAGTCCTAGCACTCGGGAAGCAGAGGCAGGCAGTTTCTGTGAGTTCGAGGCCAGCCTGCTAGGACAGGCTCCAAAGCAATACAGAGAAGCCCTGTCTTGAAAAACCAAAAAGAAATTAAATATTCAGTCTAAGACAGTATGCATCAGATGTTAACCTGAGTAATAAGACTGTAACTTCTTCCAACGTCCTTTGATTTTATAATTTTTAATAATCACTTATTAATGAAAATGAGTCATCTTTTCAAAAGTAACTAACATAACTACAGAGTACATCTCTCCATTTCAGGAATATGAGCTATGGGGACTACAGAGAAGGCTCAGCAGTTCAGAGCACTAATTGCTCTTCCAGAGGACTGGGTTCAATTCCCAGCACCCACATGGAAGCTCACAGCTGTCTGTAACTCCAGTTCACAGTAACACAGTAACACAGACATGCTTCATACATGTAGGCCAAATACCAATGCATATAAAAATAAACAATTATTTAAAAAAAAAAAAAAAGGAAGGAAGAAGGAAGGAAGGCAGGCAGGAAGGAAGGAGGAAGGAAGAAGGAAGGCAGGCAGGAAGGAAGGAGGAAGGAAGAAGGAAGGCAGGAAGGAAGGAGGAAGGAAGAAGGAAGGCAGGCAGGAAGGAAGGAGGAAGGAAGAAGGAAGACAGGCAGGAAGGAAGGAGGAAGGAGACATGAGCTGTGCATACCAGGAGTTCATCCATGCTAGTCTGGCACTTCTCCAGGTTTATCCGTTTGATTGCCACTCTCTCCTTTTTGGGGGCACAATAAGCTGCCTGGACCACAGCAGTTGCTCCACTCCCTGAAAACAAATACATAAGCAATAATTAATTAAACAAACAAATAAAGCAGGGCATTTTGAATCACCAAAATTTAAACAGTGAAGATTAAATTAAGCCCACCTTGCCCCACAGTGACAACAGAGGAGACACACCCTAGAGAGCTGGTGAACACAACCTTAAGAACCTCAGGACCAACAAGGTGGCTCAGTAGGTAAAGGTTTCACCTGACAGCCTGAGTTCAAACCCAAGGCCCACATGGTCGAGGGAACTGATCCCAAAAAGATGTCCTCTGACCTCCACACTCACACCATGGCACTTAGACACACACACACACACACACACACACACACACACACACACACACAAAATGCAGTTTAGAATTAAAAACAAAAACCACCCTCAGCTGTTTCATGTGTATAGCCAATAAATAACAGTACAAAACAATTGAAAACTGTTAGGATTCCAGTCCTAAAGTATGATAACATAGGCCCATACCCTGTTCTCCAAATACAAGTAAATAGCGAAGGTATAGGAAGGAGACAGCGCACTTAGAGACCCAGAAGTAGGAAGGCCCACGGTGAGCACTTCCCTCCCCCTCCCATGTCTGCACCCCAGAGCTACCAAGGACGCACGAACTAGAAGGGCCTGCCCTCTGGGGAGAGACCTGTGAATAAGGCAGCTCCCCAGCCCTCAGCACAGCAAGGACTGTCCCGAATGACCAACACTAGCATAAACACGGTCCTCCTCTTCACACCTTCAACAGTGGCAGGCAGTTCAGCCCGGCCTGCGCTACGGCAATGCCAAGCCAACCAGCCTTTAGCAACACATAGGGCCAGGGCAGGTCCTGCATGGAGCTGCGGAGGTGCCAGAGCAGGGTCACTGGAGCCCTGAGAACTAGTGACCAAGGGTTAGACAGAAAGCTACTCGCTAAACCAAACTAGAGTTTGGCCAAAATACAAGAGTAAACGAGGATCAAGAGTGTGCTGACATAGTAATAACCCAAATGCCCAGGATGCAATCAAAATGGCACGACCCTGGATGTGGCGCAGTGTGCACCTGTGACGCCAGCTCTTAGGAAATGGAGGCGGGAGGGTCAGTTCAAAATCATCTCTGACTACACGACAAGCTGGAGATCAGCCTGGGCTACAAGAGAATGAAAAAATAAATAAAATAAAAATTAAAAAAAAAAAAGTCTTGATGAAGAAACTATGGAGGGGGTCAGCTGGTAAAAATGCTTGCTGCTTTTTGATTTTCTCTGTAACAGCCCTGGCGGTCCTGGGGAGCAAAGAAGAGGGGGGGAAAGAAGAGGGAGGGAGAGAGAGAAAGGGAGAGGGAGAGAGAGACAGAGACAGAGAGAGAGAGCGCCAGGGTAGAAGGTGTGCACCACCACTGCCACTGCCCGGCCATCTTTCCTCTTGATGTGAAGGAAAAGACAATGAAATGAGCACCTGAAGTACAAGCTGGAACCACACACCCTCAGTGCACACATCGTCAGTGCACACACCCTCAGTGCACACACACCCTCAGTGCACACATCGTCAGTGCACACACCCTCAGTGCACACACACCCTCAGTGCACACACACCCTCAGTGCACACACACCCTCAGTGCACACACACCCTCAGTGCACACACACCCTCAGTGCACACACACCCTCAGTGCACACACCCTCAGTGCACACACACCCTCAGTGCACACACACCCTCAGTGCACACATCCTCAGTGCACACATCCTCAGTGCACACACCCTCAGTGCACACATCGTCAGTGCACACACCCTCAGTGCACACACACCCTCAGTGCACACACACCCTCAGTGCACACACACCCTCAGTGCACACACACCCTCAGTGCACACACACCCTCAGTGCACACACACCCTCAGTGCACACACACCCTCAGTGCGCACACATCCTCAGTGCACACATCCTCAGTGCACACACACCCTCAGTGCACACACACCCTCAGTGCACACATCCTCAGTGCACACACACCCTCAGTGCACACACCCTCAGTGCACACACCCTCAGTGCACACATCCTCAGTGCACACACACCCTCAGTGCACACACCCTCAGTGCACACATCCTCAGTGCACACACATCCTCAGTGCACACACCCTCAGTGCACACACCCTCAGTGCACACACACCCTCAGTGCACACACACCCTCAGTGCACACACACCCTCAGTGCACACACGTCCTCAGTGCACACACACCCTCAGTGCACACACACCCTCAGTGCACACACACCCTCAGTGCACACACATCCTCAGTGCACACATCCTCAGTGCACACATCCTCAGTGCACACACACCCTCAGTGCACACACCCTCAGTGCACACACATCCTCAGTGCACACACATCCTCAGTGCACACACATCCTCAGTGCACACACACCCTCAGTGCACACACACCCTCAGTGCACACACATCCTCAGTGCACACATCCTCAGTGCACACACACCCTCAGTGCACACACCCTCAGTGCACACACATCCTCAGTGCACACACACCCTCAGTGCACACATCCTCAGTGCACACACACCCTCAGTGCACACACACCCTCAGTGCACACACACCCTCAGTGCACACACATCCTCAGTGCACACACACCCTCAGTGCACACACACCCTCAGTGCACACATCCTCAATGCACACACATCCTCAGTGCACACACACCCTCAGTGCACACACCCTCAGTGCACACACACCCTCAGTGCACACACACCCTCAGTGCACACACATCCTCAGTGCACACACCCTCAGTGCACACACACCCTCAGTGCACACACACCCTCAGTGCACACACACCCTCAGTGCACACACACCCTCAGTGCACACACACCCTCAGTGCACACACACCCTCAGTGCACACATCCTCAGTGCACACATCCTCAGTGCACACACCCTCAGTGCACACACATCCTCAGTGCACACACACCCTCAGTGCACACATCCTCAGTGCACACAACCTCAGTGCACACACACCCTCAGTGCACACACATCCTCAGTGCACACACACCCTCAGTGCACACAACCTCAGTGCACACACCCTCAGTGCACACACATCCTCAGTGCACACACATCCTCAGTGCACACACACCCTCAGTGCACACACACCCTCAGTACACACACACCCTCAGTGCACACACATCCTCAGTGCACACACACCCTCAGTGCACACATCCTCAGTGCACACAACCTCAGTGCACACACACCCTCAGTGCACACACATCCTCAGTGCACACATCCTCAGTGCACACACACCCTCAGTGCACACACACCCTCAGTGCACACACATCCTCAGTGCACACACACCCTCAGTGCACACACCCTCAGTGCACACACATCCTCAGTGCACACACACCCTCAGTGCACACATCCTCAGTGCACACACACCCTCAGTGCACACACACCCTCAGTACACACACACCCTCAGTGCACACACATCCTCAGTGCACACACACCCTCAGTGCACACACACCCTCAGTGCACACATCCTCAATGCACACACATCCTCAGTGCACACACACCCTCAGTGCACACACATCCTCAGTGCACACACATCCTCAGTGCACACATCCTCAGTGCACACACACCCTCAGTGCACACACACCCTCAGTGCACACACCCTCAGTGCACACACACCCTCAGTGCACACACACCCTCAGTGCACACACACCCTCAGTGCACACACACCCTCAGTGCACACATCCTCAGTGCACACACCCTCAGTGCACACACATCCTCAGTGCACACACACCCTCAGTGCACACATCCTCAGTGCACACAACCTCAGTGCACACACACCCTCAGTGCACACACATCCTCAGTGCACACACATCCTCAGTGCACACACACCCTCAGTGCACACACCCTCAGTGCACACACATCCTCAGTGCACACATCCTCAGTGCACACACATCCTCAGTGCACACACATCCTCAGTGCACACATCCTCAGTGCACACACACCCTCAGTGCACACACATCCTCAGTGCACACATCCTCAGTGCACACACACCCTCAGTGCACACACACCCTCAGTGCACACACACCCTCAGTGCACACACCCTCAGTGCACACACACCCTCAGTGCACACACATCCTCAGTGCACACATCCTCAGTGCACACATCCTCAGTGCACACACACCCTCAGTGCACACACCCTCAGTGCACACACATCCTCAGTGCACACACATCCTCAGTGCACACACACCCTCAGTGCACACACATCCTCAGTGCACACACACCCTCAGTGCACACACACCCTCAGTGCACACATCCTCAGTGCACACATCCTCAGTGCACACACATCCTCAGTGCACACACACCCTCAGTGCACACATCCTCAGTGCACACACCCTCAGTGCACACACACCCTCAGTGCACACACATCCTCAGTGCACACACATCCTCAGTGCACACACATCCTCAGTGCACACACACCCTCAGTGCACACACCCTCAGTGCACACACATCCTCAGTGCACACATCCTCAGTGCACACACATCCTCAGTGCACATACATCCTCAGTGCACACACACCCTCAGTGCACACACACCCTCAGTGCACACACATCCTCAGTGCACACATCCTCAGTGCACACACACCCTCAGTGCACACACACCCTCAGTGCACACACACCCTCAGTGCACACACATCCTCAGTGCACACACACCCTCAGTGCACACACACCCTCAGTGCACACACACCCTCAGTGCACACACACCCTCAGTGCACACACACCCTCAGTGCACACACCCTCAGTGCACACACATTCTCAGTGCACACACATCCTCAGTGCACACACAGCGCCTGAGAAAAATGTTATATAGACTTCCCAGGGTGAAAACCTGTGAGCTTGGAGATAAGATAGTTTACTAAACACAAATAAAACCCTGAGGAAAAAGCCTCAGGGAGCTGGAGAGATGGCTCAGTGGTTAAAAGCACTTGCAGAACTCAGTCTCCAGCACACACTTAGTAGTTGGTACACACCACCTCTAACTCCAGTTCCCA